CAATTTTTTAGGAGAGGCCTGAAGAAGGTCGAGGTGATGACTTGGGGAACAGGTTTGCTGAGCAGATGCTGACCAGGTTCACTATCGTGCATCAGAAATTGCTGCCCCATGTCCGAGAAATGAAAAATGGTAAAGGGAAGCCATTGCTGGTAGGATTTGTGTCATCTGTCAGAAATCCTGCTCCTGGATTTGGCTCCTAATTTTATTTTTCCACCAGTTCTCATGAAAGATCTTATTAAACAAAATACCTTTCCCAGTTATGTCTACAAATTTATTATGGCATTCCTTGGCTAATGTATGTGAGGTAGCCTGATTTTGGCAAACCAGGTTAACTTATTCACTTACCGAACAAAAATTACAATGTCTAAAAGGCTAAGTATGCTGTCCTTATGCATATTTCCTGCCTAATTCTGCAAGTTATGCCATTGCAGTCAAGGATATGCTTTCCTTAGGAAGCTACTAAACATGAACATGATTAGCAGAGTTGGACCGGAAGCAAACACAGTAACCATGCTACTATAATCCAGTTGCCATATTCCATCTCTCAGGTCAGTCCTGTGCTACAAACTTCAGGCAGCAGATCAGTGTAAATCCAAGATGTGATTCTTGACCAACTGGTATTCCAGCATATGAGTGTCTCTAGGTAGTAAACTATGCTTAATTCACCTCCCCAAGGAAAATACAAATATTGGTGAATTATGCAGTAGTGACTGATTATAAGCTCATAATTGAGGGGGAAAAATGGAGGAGCTGGTGGGAAATCAGAATAATAGCAACTCAAACCAGAGTGGTGAATTATTCCATAGAAAAATTAATCCTAGTTCACTGTATTGGTAAAATTCCACCAGGGTACAGTTTATCTGGCTTCCTTTTTATGAGAACACAATCTTCTAATAATAAGTAAAATTTTAAACCTACTTCACTTTCCATAAGTTTAAAAAGTTGTCTGCAGAATAGTATGAAAATGGAGTTTTAAGAAACCCATAACTTTTAAAACTGGACTGTTGCATCTTTTTTTTTTTTCTTATTTAAAACTAAAGATATTCTTACATTCCCCTTTCCATCCACTAGATGGTGAAGCACTCTATTTCAGGGTTTTTGCATATTGTTCCGAAGTTTCACTGGGTATCTGAACTTCATTTGGCTTTAACTTGTTAAAGTTTGAATATTGTTAATTTTAGCTTGAGAAAAGAGCTGTAAGGCAGGAAGGTGTAGCCTGAGTTTTAACAATCTTCTCTGAACTCCCAAGAAAGAATATGACGGTTTTTCCAGTAAGTGCAAAAGGACTGAAGAACATTGCACTGTAGAGATCACCCATACCATGTATCAACCTGTTAAACAATTTATTCAGCACGACAACTGATGAATCTTTTTAACTTTTAATTTTGATTCGTTTGTATAACAGTAGTTTCCAACCTTTTTAAGTAGGAAATTTAAAAAGCAACCCAAGATCTACCATGGACTGCTGCCAAATTCCCCACAGCAGGTAAGTCTGTGGGGACAGAAGTGGGGGAGCAGATCAAGGCAGAAAAAATCATTTGGGGGGCACGCCTCCCCAGCAGGTAAGTCCCATCCAGCTGGGGCCCCATTCAATTTACCCCTGATCCTGCCACTGTCCCTCACCATGGGGGCCTTGATCTAGCCCCTGCTCCTTCCCTTCCCCACAGACTGACCGGCTGGGCTGGGGTGCATGCGTGTATGCATGCAGGCACTCAACCCCCACACCCAAGCCTCGACTAGACTCTAAGAGGCTCCAAGATCTACCTGTGGATCAAGATCCACTGGTTGGTGACCACTGTTGTATAGTTTCCCAAGTGTAAGTGCTTCCTTAGTTAACAGGATTATGTTCATGGTTATTTTTAAGAGACAGTTTTCAATGAGCCTATTAAAGTCAAACATTATTCTATAATGTGAATCTCTATTCACTTTACTGTATACAGCTCTGAAAGTAAGAAGGGATTGCAACAGGGAAGTGACTAAACTAAAAATGGTCTGCCCCGACTAACACCCATTTTGTTCAAGTATCAGTGCAGGTGTCTGATCTGGAGAGCCACTGAGAATGTACACATCTTGCAATGGGTCCTTCCAGGCAGCTAAACAAGTATCTAATAAACAACTGTGTAAAACAGCACTTTCTCATGGGTTAGTTTGGACTCAGAGAATCTAGAGAATGTATGTTAGTTTTTGGGGCCATGTGATTGCTGTCTGCTACAAAATTCTGACAGACACATACACACTCAGAGCAACATATGGCTTTTACAACTGCTTGCTGGTATGTATTGTTTTAGAGCTGTTCCACTTTGATTGGAATTATTCTGTTGTTTAGTACAGTAATTATGACAGGATTCACAATTAAAGTGGATATAGATAATGCAGAAAACCCTTTAGTGCCTGCATGTATTTTAGTGGGCTACACTAAATTCAAATATGCAGAGCTCCAGGTGCATTAAGACACTAGCATTAATCCAAGATTGATATTGCTGTGCTTAAATGATGTTGAACAGCTTCAGGGGCTCTCATGTAGATTATCTATAATGCAGGGGATCATGTCTGAAAGTACACTATCTATAGGATGAAAGTACATACCTTGATGCATCATGAATTGCAGAAATTAGTATTAGTCAATCTAGGAATCTTAAATAAAGTTGAAACCAGATACTGCCACTAGAATATAAGAATTTCTATTATAATTACCATATATAGGGTTTTCATTACTACAGAAGCATATTTGGATATATTCCAAAGGCACAAACTACCACTCTGATGCAAATTATTTATACTAAAACACTTGGACTGCCTTGGAAATGCAGCAGGTCCTCAAGCACATACCACAGAAGCAACAGCATGTCAGCTTGGGTAGGTGATCTCCATTTTGCCACACACCGCTCTTCCGAGGCACACAGTCAGCCAGATTCCCCAAAGCAGTCGGGCTTGGAGTTATCACCTCATTGTAATGGGCTACATTTCTCAGAGCTATTGTTGCAAGCTCTCTACAAATGCCGATTTACAGCATTGTATCAGGTGTACATGGGTCACATCTTCATGGTTTTTTATGCAGCAGTGAGGACTAGAAATTTACTTGCTTTTTAAAAATAAAACCTTGGTTTAGCCAGAACTTAAACAGGCAGGACTGGGCTCAGGTTTAGTCAGGTGAAAGCCATCCCAGCCACAGTGGGGGAGATCTCTGAACCACACCATCCCAGCCTGTGAGAGCCAGATGCACCCCAACATCACCATCACCCATGAGGCCAAGACAGTTGTGACTGTGGACATCACCATCCCTTTAGAAAACCAATGCCAAGCCTTCACCGATGCCTGGGCTCACAAGCAGGAGAAGTATGCCCCACTGGCCAACATCCTGAGGAGCCGTGACTATGACATGACGGTCAATGTGCTCATTGTGGGAACACTTGGAGCCTGGGACCCCGGCAACGAGAGTATCCTGTGTGCCTGCCGCATCTCCCGCCGCTACACCCAGCTGATGCAGCACTTCATGGTGTCTGACACCATCCGCTGGTCCTGCAACATCTATGTCAAGCACATGATCGGCCAGCACCAGTACACAGACCCCAGTATTGCTGCCATAACTATTCAATTCTCTGAGAGGCAGATGCTTTGGGTTAAAATGGACACCTTTCCACTTAGGACTACACTGAAACCACTGAACAATCAACACAGGATTATATACTTTTGTTCCATACTACTGTGAACTTCAACTGCATTTGAACATTATAGAGACTTTGTCTTACTAACTCTATTTTGAGATATCCACTACATCTCAAACGTTGGTACATTGCATTATGGCAATGATTTTGGCATCTGGGTTGGTGCCAAAGGCCCTGAGGTTGACATAACATTTGAAAAATCTCACAGACATATATCTGCTACAACATGCGAAACTGTGTCCTGCCACTAAAGGAATCCTAGGTACAGGGAGCATCCCATGTAAAGGTAGAGACAGAAGGAGACAGGCCAGCCTGCTGGGACCATTACAGCAAGGCAATTGTCAAAGATAGTCCTGAGGCTGCCATGGCCCCAGAAATCTAAATAGGAAAGGTACAGCATTCCTTTGACACAAGAACAGGGATTGACCTAAACCAGGGGTTGGCAGCATACAGCCCATGAGCCAGATCTAGCTGTTAGAGGTTGGATTCAGTCTGGGGCGCCACCCAAGTCACCCATCCCCTCCACACCACCCGCCTCCACAGCCCTCCCTGCTGCTCTCTTGTATCTGTGTTCACCCTCACTGCAGAGGATACCTGTGCAGTAAGGGTAAGCACAGGCGGCTTGCTTAAGAACTCTGTGGAAAGTGTAGATTTGCATCTAGCAGCAGGGGAATGCGTCACAAGCTCCAGGCCCATAACAACAAAAGATTTCCAACCCCGATAGGCTAATATGTCTAAACCCCCATGACATCTGTTTTACAGAGAGGTGGCATCGCACTGCATTTCCCATGGTGCTTCAACCAATGATACCTTTTTAGTTGCATGATTTAAAAACTTCAGCCACAAAAATCCTCCATCTTGCTCAGGGTCTGAGCTGCATTCGGAAGCCAGCAGCCCTTCATTCTATGCCTATAAACTTTCTCAAAGTTTCCTGGGGATGTTCTAAAACTTTTCCTGCCTGTTTATAGGCATTCAGAGGCTACTTTTCATGATGTAAATTCAGATTCAGACCTGGTTCCCTTCAGGAAGGTAGGGCACAGTAAATCGAGACAAAGCACAACTTAACAGATTAGGCACAATGAATTCAATGCAATTGCCACACAAATTGAAGGGGAAAATGTACTGGATGTTCTCAACTTGTATTTTCTGGATGCTTATAACATGACTGTGAACTGAAGAACAATGACTTCTTAGGGCAGTACAAAGTGTGCAATTGCATGGAGCTCCAACCTGGTCAGGGATCCCTGCTGCATTACAAGTATGCTCTACTAAAGCTAGTAAAGAGTGGAGATCTGAAACTGCACCTTTGTATAGCCTCCAGCAGGCGAATCCCACCTGTTGCTGGAAAAGTAACTCAGACATTCTTCCAACTCCAAAAAATACTATTTCAGGGCAGAACATAAACTAGAGAGAGCAGATGTTACATATTTAAGCAGGTGGTGAGCACATGAAACAGCAGAGTTACAATGGAAAGCTTATTTCAGACTTCATAATGACAGTGACTACCAGCACCTCCTATCCATCCCTGTAAGAGTTATACTATATTGTAGATTACAACAAAGTAATCCAGGAGTAACAAAGCATTCATGTATAAAAAGCAAAATAAAACACAGCCCATGATTTTCTCTGCATTACAAATATTAGAGCATCCCACATATATTCTTCATACCTGAGACTCCTACTCACTGTCAGCACTTCCCACATGGCAAAGTGTCTGCCACCTCACAAGAGCTGCTGAAAGTGCAATCTCCAACTCCTGCGTCTGCTAGGAAGCTGACATAAACCCTTTGAAGAATGAGCCAGCGTGCAAGAATACATTTACTACTGCTGCTTCTCTCCACAGAACTAGGCAAGGATTGCAACCAAGCTGTCAAATCCAAAAGTTAATGATATTGGTTCATCAGTAATATTTCAAATAAGAGCAACGTTATGACCCCTGAGAGTTATACGTCTTAGAGCTAGTGGAAACCTGAGGAACCATAGTGTCATGTAGTAGTTACAGCAAGACTGAGATGGAGGCTATGACTACCACCAAAACCTATCTGTGCCTGACTTTTCCTGTACATATGGCATGGATAACAGTTTCCTGTATCATACAATTTATGTAAAAATGAATGATTAGCAAGTGTTTTGAGATTCTTGGATTATATCAAACTGCTATAGAAATACCAAGCACTTTTTACTTTTTTATAACTGAGACCACACAGATTCAACGAACAACCCAAGGATCTCAGACTAGTCACTCAAGCCTGAGAAGGCTCCTTTTTTTCATAATGATGAGCACTATTGTGTATTGTCAATGTGCTTCATATATTTTTCTTTAAAATGTGCTATCATTTCCATGGGTTTCATGAGACATTGCTCTCCTTAACTATTTCTGAAATAAACTAATTTTCTATACAGATAGACAGTGCGGTCAGTAAGTGCACCCTGACATAAATGCATAATAGAATTAGAGGGCCTAATTCTGATCTCATACGGTCATAAATCAAGAGCAGCTTCCACTGCATAAGTGGTATTAGAACCAACCCATAATTCTGATTGTACTCTTACATTTTTTTGGTTTTTTAGCTGAGATACATTTAAGATGCCTAAGCACCATACAACAAGTTTTTATTCCTACATATCACTAAGACTGTATTACTGTCCAAAATTCATCCGATTACTATCAGCTATCAGTGTGGATTACAAGGACCACATACTAGTTCAAAACAGGGCTGCAAAGCTCTTCTAGAAAAGACTTTCATGAGGTTTCATTTCAAATTTCCTGTCTTCCAGATTTTGTTCATTACAGTTCTTCCTGCTCTCCATCTTGTTGCCCATAACGTTCCATTCCTTCGTCATGTCCATATCTGAACCCTTCTCTTGTTCTTATATTTTCAATTTCTTCTGTGCCAACCCTCTGCTTGTAACTCCTTTCTTTGCTTCAGCATCAGATGACACTATCAGAGGAACTGAGCACCCACAGTTTCCACACAAGTCATTTGGAGTCGTAGGTGCTGTGCCCACAAAGAGCATAAACCAGTGGGAATCAGGCTTGATACTAGTATTTAGATACTTGTAGGATCTGGACTGAAACAACCAATCCTCAAATTCCAGTCCCTTTTCAAAAGCCTCTTATTCTATCTGGCCATTCTACATTAAACTGGAAGGGGACCCTGCACTGTTTAAAATTGGGATCTTCCATTTCCATGTGGCAACAGTATGCTAGATCTGTATTGTCTAGATCTGCATTTAAATGATAAACCCGTTGGTGGTTGGAACCGTATGATAAAAAATGGCATGAGTGCTCAGAAACAGCCCCAGGAACACTTTCTTCAGTGGGTATCAAGCAAGTGCAGCCTCAAATGGCCATTTGGGAATAGGTCTCTGCTTCTTGTACTTTTTTCTTATGGTTGAGGAGGCCAGGCGTTCTTTATGCATGTACATAGTGCTGAGTTCACCCCTAGCACCTAAAAAAAGAAACTACTTGTTAAGTAGTATTTATTATAGGGAAAGTAGGACAGTCAACCTCCAAAGTGCCAATCCTAACTATTTAAAAATCTTAAGTTAGGCCTTCAACATCATAAAAAGAATTTTAGAAATGGGTCTTTTTCTTTATGCACTGGTCTCTCAGCCTTTCTGGTACATTCACAACATTTTTAAGCATTTCTCCCCAACATAGGAAATTAAAACTTAAGGGCTTTTTTAAATTATGAAAGTTGGTGTTCTCACATGATTACTGGATTCCAGGAGATAAAACTCCAGATTACCACCAAATGTCATGAGCCTCACTAAAAAACAATGCTGCTGTACAGACTTAACACAAGCAACATAACTACATTCAATAGAGGTGCATGGAGTATAAATCCGGGCACAAATACTGGTAAATTCATTCTAAAGGTGTCATAATTTATACAAAGATGCTGAAATCTCCCCAGTCTAAGAGCACAATAGAAAGGGGCTGTACCTACAGAGAAGTTTACACTGTAACAAGAGCATGGAAGGATGCCATTTTCTTTCTTCCTTTCTTGTAACAGATCAGTTTTGTTCCACAATAAACCAAAAAGTTCTATGAAACAGGGAAGTGGAGGTTAGGGTTACCCGCAGAAAACTCTTGTGAACAGCGGCAACATACAAAGAAAAAAGCACTCCAAGCTGTGCTTGCTCTTCGTACTAAAAATTAGTATCTTGATGAGGATGCATTTAGACCAGCCTGCTTGAGACTTAGAATACAGTTTCCATGACAACTGAATTCACCCTTTTCCCCTAATCTAATCAAGAAAAATAAAATAAAAAATGCCATGGAAAAATCTTGTTCCTATTAAAACTACTTTAACTTGCACTTTTCAGTTTAAACTCAGTTTTAGCAGATCTGCTTTTTCATTTCAGCAAAACTGAAACACTAATTTCAGCTGCTTTAGAGCAGACTAAGCGGCAACATGTCAAGACTGTTTTTAACTCCTGGCTCATTTGTCTTCTGCATCCTGAATATTCTCTGTGTTCCCACCAAAGGTGATTTTTCTTGGCAGCATCTGAAATTCTTACGCTCCAGGGAACAAGTCAAGAAAGCAAAGTAAGGTATCATCAGTTATTTTTCTCTAAGTTTCAGAGGGGGAAAATGAAATGCATATGTAGTTTTCTATCCAGGGTAAATTAAACATGAACACTAACCTAACTTTTTCTTTTGACCTGTGAGCCTTGCTAGTCTCAGTTCAGAAGCAGAATCGAGAAATTCCAGAGATCAGATTGTGAGGAGAAGAGTCCCAGAGAAGTAAAATGGCCCCACCTGTATTGCAAAGACCGCCGCCGGGCTCCTTCCTCACCCGGTGTCTGAGGGGAGGGGGAGCCAGCCGGAACGCCAGGATAAAGGGAGACGCGGGGTCAGGCAAAAAGGGGACACAGGAAACCGGAAGAGATTGACTCAGGCAGTGGGGAGAGCCGGAGGCGCTGAGGAAACTAGGGAGACCGAGACCGGGCTTAAGGGAAGCAACTCTGTGGAGAGAAGAGAGCCCTGAAGGAAACGCAGGGAAAAAAAAAACTGCAGGGAGGCAGTTATAAGGTACCGTAAAGACCCTAATAGCAGGGCTGAAGAAAAAGGGTACTGCAAAGTTGGGACTATAAGGGTAGAAGAATTGCCAGTTTGTTTGGGTTTTTTTGCCCTCTTCATTAGGGTGAGAGGGAAGTCACCCCAGACAGTTGTAAACACTATCAGGGCAATAAGCCAGGAAAAAGACTGGCTAGGATTACTGGCAGGTCTGTGCTGGGTTCCAGCCAGGTGGGGTGCAACTGGGCCCATCCGGGGATATTGATTGGCCAGACCTAGAGACCCAGCGAGCATTTTTTCTGTACTGCTCAAAGGCAAACTGCGGAGACAACTGAATTATTACCTGGTGGAATGGGCAAGGGTGTAGGGGTTGGTGGAGTCCTCACTACACTAAGACGAATTGCAAGAGCCAAAACCAGGTGAGACTGTGGGTGTGTGGGAGGGGGCAGCAAAATGTCACAGTGAACTTCAGCTTGTTAGCCAAGGTGCTAAAGTTGTCTTGGTGTAGAAGATAGAGTAAAAAAAAAAAAAGTGGGGGGAGCTGCTCAGGCAAGTGGCGAGCTCCAGAGATTGATGTCACCTAGATCAAGAGAGACAAGCTTCTACCCCAGATAGGGGTGGGACTTTTGGGGTGAAAGCCCACTATTGGACACGTATATTAGTTCTCACAATGAACTTAACTATGGCACTGAGTACATCACAAAACAACAGCCAGTCCAGTCCAACACAGTGGCCAATCCATCAATATACTTTAACTGTAGATCACAAGGAAATACTTGCTCTAACAGGTACGTAGACTAATTGGACAGAGAATAACATGAGCAGATAACTACAGCCAAGATATTCAGTGACTTTTCTACAAAGCTATTCTTGACGTTCTGCAAACTAAGTCAAGCCTCCAAAGTCCTAACCACCACTTCCTTTCTTATCTTTCCCCTGTTATGAGAGCTGCTTTCCAAATGAAAGGAATCATGGGCATCAGACCTCCAAGACTTTAACTAGCAGCCTCACTTGCAACAAGTTTTTGGGGTTTTTTTAGGTTGGGGAAGAAGGGTAATAAGATGCTTGCTGTGCAAAATAAACTTTTGAATTTTAAGTTAAATCTTCATCATGATGCAGTGGGTCTAGCATAGCTCCCTCACAGGAATATCAAGAATGACTCAGATGTGTATGCACAAGAGGTGTTCAGGAATGAAAAAATGTTACCACAGCATTCAACATTTTTGTTAGCTTCTTCAGGAACATCAACCAGAAAAAAAAAATCAGTCTTTCAGGACTCTTCAATAAACTTGTCTGGTTTAATAGCTTAAACTGATATAAAATGAAGATTAATCTTGGCAGCTCCCCTGCTGTTCCTCCCCACAACCTCCAAAGGAAGAGGAGAGAGGATTCAGCATCTCTTTCAGTGAAAGGGTAAAGACATTTAGTCTTAGCTCTGCAGGCATTCAATTTGTTTGTCCATTTGTAGAAGTGTATTACAAACTGGTACCTAATTGTTTTGTTTGTTTGGTGGGGTTTTTTGCCCCCCAAACTGTTCTTGAAGTACAAGTTATTGAAAAATTAAATCGGGCTAATCGCACATTTCTAGACCCATATATGAAGAGAGTGTTGTATCTCTTCTATAAGCTATACTGTAATACCTTTAATATTGTATAGAAAAACCATTATCAGCAAAATGTAAAGTGCTTTCAGGTGTATTCTTTCTTTTCTAAGATTTGGAGGTATGGCTCTTTAAAAGTGAGTTCTATTGAAACTGAAACAAAAATCAAATGAGAAACCCCTTGCATTTGAAAGCTTGTCTGACTACCTCACTGATGCAGGTGGCCCAATAAGATATTGCCCTAAGAAATCCTCGTGTACTGAAGCTGTACTCCATCTTATTTTTGGGGAGTTCTGAACAAAAATAAGATGCATCACATTTTGCACAGTTAAACTGTATCTACTTAAATTACACCATTAAAAACTTGATAGAAGCCACTTAAATAATCTTTTCATATTCCACCTTGTAAAGTCTGTATGTTGTATTTAAAGTTATTCAGCAAAAGAAAAGGCATACACAATGAAGAAATTTTAAGGTCTGTAGGGCTTGGGAAGACCTAGGAAGTTTATCCAATTTCCAGAGAACTGATAAAGCCAGAGGCAGATAGGAACCTGGGGAGTAGGCTGTGAGATTATTTTAACAAATATACTACTTTCTGTTAACCTTTCACTTCCATCATGTGTGTGTGTTTGTTTGTTTGTTTGTTTGTTTTTAAGACTAACAGTCTTTGGAAACAATAACTTTCGACTCAACTTACCTTAAAAGGTAATGAAGTTTTTGATCTGTCATTTGAGGGGTTGGTGTGGTCTAAAACATCACAAGATTCATAAGGTTGATCACTCAAACCTAGGCTATGTTCAATCCCTTACCAACTGACAAGTAAAACACTGGCAAGCAGGCTTTTAATTAGTCACAGAAAAAAGATTATGCTTTTCTGGGAAATATGTACATACGATTTATTTATACATGTACAGTATATTACAAATCAACCATGTTAAATTATTGCAAATTCACTTTTTTTTTTTTTTTTTTTATAGTCATATAAAAGACTACTGGTTTCCTACCCTATCACTTCATAATACAATACAGCTTCCAAACAAACTAATTATAACAAGCCTAACAGCAGGAACCTTTTTTTTTTTTCTTTATTATGTTGTACCAAATTGACCCCCACTATTATAGCAAGCACCCTTTTTAATGAACTTTTCTCTCGGTCCAATGGGTGTCTATTATAATGAGTTTTACTGTAAAATACACTGTTGCCAAAGCAGCCAACTTGCACAACATTAATAAAATGCTGACGAACTGCTGTACAAATTGGAATAACTTCAGGGGGCAACCTGAAAGCCATATTGACCCTTTCAATATGTAGTTTTCCTTTTAAAGGATTTCCTTGTCTAATATATAAAATTAGCTATTTTATTTCTTCCCAATGACCAGAATTTTGGTGTGTGTGGTGTTTTTTTGTCTCCATAATATTATTCTTAAATAGTGAAATTAAAATCCCAGTCCCTTTGCCTGGTCCAAATTCTCTCTCTTTGCCTCTTCTCCAACCCACTACACCTCCCCTACTTTGTTTTGCCAGTGATTTGTGTGTGACCATTTACTTGGTTTTTGGGTACTGACTGTAGTTTTTGTCTTTCACTTTGCCCCATCTTTAGGCTAATAGTTAGGAAAAGGGAGAACTCATAGTCAAATTCATAATGGGTTTCTGGAAGGCACACTGAAATCACTGCATATAAGCCAACAAAATGGCAACAATTTAGAGTTACTAGTGACCTGGCTGACTTCTAACCAGCGCTCCAAAGTGTAATACCCCATAATGCCTTACCAGTCTCCATAATTCTGTTGTGTTCCTTTACTAATGTTCTATCATAATGTTACTTACTATTATTCTGTTGAATTAAGCAGCTGTATTGCAAGATACCCAAGGATCAGTTCTTTCAAGGAATACAGAAAATGTGCTTTTTGTATGGTTTACCTTAATTCATGGAAAAATTCAAAGATTTTCTGCTGAAAATGAACCAAAATAAAATGGTTTCCAACTATTGTATTACAAGGCAATTCTTCAGTGTAGAAAATGTATTCTTATTGATTTGTTTGCTGAAGGAATGCAGTGTCTTTAGCCAGTCTGCCAATAAGTACAAGCCAGCTTTTAAATAAATCCTGTGTGAATAATGATGCTTTTTTTTTTTTATCTCTATAATCAAAACCAGCTACTACCACCTGCCTTCCTCAATACTAATGCTAATAATACCAATAACAATAATTCAGGATTCATTAACACCAAATCCATGCCCAGTATATATCTGAATTTGGTTCACAATATTTATTATTGATATTCTCTCATTTCAAGTTGAATATAAACAAAATCAGTAGTGGTTTTGTTTTCTGTAGGGAGGTTCAAACTTGGGTTCCAATTTTATCAAAATTCCCCAAGTTTAGAAGAAGCAGAAAAATGCTGTCTTTGGCTTATTTTTCCTTGAAAGGAGGCCACAAATAATTTAGCCCAAACCTTATAAGGAAGATACTACAGCTGAGATCTTCCTTTTAACAACTTTGAAAAACAAGCACATTCCATTACTATATTTTACCAATAGGCACAGAAAATAAAATAGCCTGGTGCTTCTCAATATTTTCCAGATTTAGATCTCCCTCTTTTCCCCCCCCAACAAAAACTACCCCCTTTTTTGGCCAAAATCATGCCTGACCTCTTTTCCCATAGGGAAAGAACAGGACAGCTGCAATGTCTACCAGTAGTTTGGGATGTGGCTGAGGGCCACAATTCCCAAGACCCCTGATATAGCACATATAGCAGCACAACATAAAAGGAAAGAACAAAAAATATAATTTACACTAGTGTTTAGAACCCACACTACATTTTATTAAAATGCTTGCTTTTAATGATCTGTAGAAATGAATCACCCTTAGATCCATCTGAAGCTACTGTCCTTCTTCAGATGCACCAAAGGAAGAACTGATAATATTCACCAATCTCTGCCTAGGCAGAATTTTTTCTTGCTTTTAAACATATATTTGCTGTTATTGTAAACTTGGCAAGGTTCTTCATTTAGTTCTTTCAAACATAGGTTTAAAAAAATCACTCTGATAAACAGGCAGTAAGCTACAGGTGAAGGCTTGGCATGCAATGAAGATCTAAACTACAGAAGGAACACAAGAACACATAAAGAGTATTAGGGAATTATCAATTTGTGCTTCTAATAAACTACAGTGTGAGACACCAGCAAATGCAGAGAAGGAAGGAAGCAAGGACTGCTTGTAACAGAATGAGGATTAAAGTGCTGGGATATGGTTGTTTTACAGGTTGTAACAGTTTAAAATTCACACTTAAGGTACACAAGACAATACATCTGCAATAATAGAAAAGAGGCAAACTACAGTACAGTGCCTGAGCACACTAACATAACGGACAGTTTTGCTCCGATTCACATAGGATTTAGGTACTAGGTTTGGAAATCTGATTTGCAATTAATGCCTTCAGTGATCCTCATTCCACAGCGTGACTTAACTTACATTAGCATGTTTGGGATTTATGCCAACATATTGAAAGGAAGGAAAAGGTTCCTCTCTCACCACGTCTTCCAACCCCTGCCCAAAGTAAAGGAATGCACTAACATTTACTCTCAAGGCAGAGGTTTATCTATCAGTTTGGCTATTTACTATATGCTGGCCTTTTATACACTTTTGGCATTTGTACTATGCTCATCATCATAGTATCAAAGAGCGTCAGTTCTATGTCCTCAACATATATGTGCACAAATGTTGGAGCTGAATCAGCATCACATGACCTGCAATCTACCTGTAATTATACTACAGAGACACTTCAGTTTTCAGAAGACAAATTAAGATTTTAGAAGCTTTGTCCTATTAACGTTAACAATTTTTGAGCCTCCTACCCAGGAATGAGGTATCCTCAGGCTTTAAGGATGCTCTAGGCCAAGAGTTACCATGTTTTATCTAAGAGAATGGCAGAGACAACTGATAAACAGCAACATGTGTAAAGAACAAATGGGGATTTTTGTTACTTTGTTATGAAAGATTATCTAAACAAAGTGGGCATCTTTTTATATTTCATTAATGAAACCTGCAGAAATTTACCATGTCCATTTCCAGGTAACTATGTATAACAGGCCTGACAAGTAAACTATTTGCCTCCATTTTGTACTCCTTGAAGCCCTTTCTACCAGTCCACAGATTAGTTTTGTTTCTGTTTACCGAGTGCCCCAGTAAACCAACTGCCAAACCTCAAAATGAAAGTCTTGAATCAGACCTATACTACTGTATGTACTATATTTCACAAGTAAAATTAAGAATGGCTGTCTATAGATATATATTTTTTAATAAAAACAGGTTCATAAGGAACACTTACATATGTTTCCCTTTTGTTTTGTTTTTAAGTATTTGGCACAAAAAAAATCAGCCTGTAACAAATTTCAGCATAACAAAGATCCATGGGATCACACATACATCAGAAGGTGGCCTTCTTTTGTCACAGAGATCCTTCTCTTACTAGGAATCCACCTTAGGAAAGATACTGACTTTATTGTTCCTGCTAATTTTTCTTTCTGCTTTACCCTTGGGTTGCTTTGTCTGGATGAGTTCTTCTGGTGTATTTCCCAAAGGCGGCAGCAGTCGCTTCTTACTGTTCCGATTTTCTGAGAGCCACTGCGGAGGCAGCTCAAAGGGCCCAAAGCCAAACTGCATGGAATATTTATCATTGGCCATATCTGCTTCTGTGGGCATTGCTGGGGCCACCTGAGCAGCAGAGTCTGCAATGGTTTGTGGTATACATTTTTTAACCAAAGTCTGTTCTACCTCTAAACTGGTAGTTGGAATTTCCTTCTGCTGGAAGTCACCAGAGCCAACAGATTTAGTTTCATTCTCCTCATCCTCTGTGGGTTTGAAAATCTGCTGCTGCCCAATGTGAAACATCTCCAGGAGCTGGCTACCAGAACGGACACTGGGCTCCAGGTTAGTATCTGCAACACCCCCAGAGCTGACAATATTTCTCCTGCTGTACCTCCGGTGTAGCTGCACTACTGTCCCCACTAAGCACTTCCGTACAGATTTGTTAACAGTCAAAAAAAGCAATGGATTGGCTAGCAGGGAGACCTTGGGCAACCAGATGGCAGTGAGGTGCAAGAAAACTGAAATATCAGAAATATTAAGTATGGTTCTATAAATCACAAGAGTCATATAGGGGACACTGCAGAAAATAAAGATCATAACCATGGAGAGCAGCATGGCATGTAGTTCAGCTTCTCGTTGAGAGGCATATGGAATAGAAATGGTATTCTGAGGGGTCCTTAAGGCAGCTATGATGACTTTCTTCTTCTGGCTGGCACTCAGTGCCCTGCGAATAAGAATCATAAAAAGAAACACCACGGCTACTGGTACAATCACAGTTGTGATGTTATAAATGATGACATACACCAGGTGGCCAAGGGAGTAACTCCAGGATTCAGTACAGGTAGACATGGCATAAATGTCAGATACATTGGTCACAGCAAATACAGGAATACTGGCTACCACAGCATGGGCCCAGATGTAGATAACCAGGTCTCGAGACCTTGCATCAGAAATTTTTCTTTCCAGTGGGTATAGAACTGAGTAATACCTGCCAAGAATAAAACACAACAATTTAAAAGAGACAGAGATAGACATAGATTGTTTGGGATCACAGAGTCATGACTTGGAGAAGTGGCACAGGGACAGTGCTTAGGGAGAATGTCTTGGTAGCTGTCTGGGGATGATGAGGGCTGCCAAATCACTATTTTTTCATAACCAAGAACTGGGGTTTACAATTCTGGCCCTACAACAGCACTATATTCAGAAGATCTACACTCAGAAGCAAACCATCAGTGATCAGCCACGCTTTAGCTCTACATCTGAAATTATATTCCAATTTGTTTCAACGTGCATTCATGAATCTATAGAACTATCGATCTCTTCAAAATTAGTTATCTATAAATATCCTAAATAAAACATAATTGCAAACAGCAATAGGAATATGACTGGAACACAGTTTTCTGTACTCTGGCACTTGTCATACAAAAAGCAGGGTAGATTTGTACTTTTTGGACTAACTAAATCAAAGATGCATTGCATAAGCTTTTGTAAAATCAAAAAAGCTTTGACAAGAGCTCAATGTATGTATTTTTAATTATTTAGTCTATAAGGTACAGATTTGCCCTACCTTCTGCCAGACTTCAGACTAACACAGCTAACTACCTTTCTCTACTCATTTGTCATACAAATCAGTGAAGTGAGAAGCCTATCGCATCCATGCTTTTGTGTGTACTAAGTCACCCAGGCCATGTAGGAAAGTATGACCTCTGTCTATTAGTGGTTCAGAATTCAAGAATCTTAGCTGTACCTGTCAAGAGATAACACCAAAAATAAACAGTGGCTATAATTCTAGCAGGCATGTACATGAAAACAGAATGAGGTCTTAAAATCATGCTGCTTTGTAGAAAGGTCATTGGCAGTGCACAGTGCTACACACAGCAATTCCTGCATATGCTGTATAGTCCTGTGGTCACCCCTTTACTAGAAACATACTATGGACTTGATTCGCACAAGATCTAGTAGCAAGGGCATTGAACAAATAGACAGACATATAGTAGCAATTTGCATGTGAATCTCCAATTTGTATATGCATCTGTGGAAGCTGAAATAATTATATTAAAAATTATTTACATATCAGACCTTGTGTAGCAGATCTAATAATGTGATTTTTGTTGGTACTGACCTTTAGATGGTCTATTTTTAGTCAGAGGGAATAGAGATTCTCTTTATCCCTGGGGATAGGGGTTAATGGTCTTGATACTGAAAGTCATAAACTTTAGTCCTGATCTCAAAAAATGCACATATCTTCCCCCAAGATGTCCAAAGTAAAAGACATCTTCAGTGTAAATCCAAGCCAATTAAAAACCTGTAGAAACTAACCCGTCAGACTTCAAAAGTATCCAGCAGTACCACAATTGTGGTACCACAAATGCAGTACTAACAGTTTTGTAGCTCTGGCTGTTTATGACACGTCATGAGCACCTAAAGTTGCACAGAGTGAATGAACCTACCTTGTAGAAGAGTTCTTTCATGAAGAACAGTTTGATTGGATATAATTAGTTATGTTTTCTCTGTGGCCATTGTGAAGTGTCCATGCAGTATCTCGACAGGAACATAATAATAATAAATAAATAAATAATAAACCCTGGGGCTTTAAAAATACGTAGTCTAAAAAAAAAAAAAAAAAACA